CTACAACTACTACTACTCCTAACTCCAACTGCTACTTGCTACTGCTACTGCTACTGCTACGACTACCACCACTACTACTACTACTGCTACTACTACTACTACTACTACTACTACTACTACTACTGCTACTGCCACTGCCACTGCCACTGCCACTGCCACTGCCACTGCCACTGCCACTACCACTACCACTACTACCACTACCACTACCACTACCACTACCATTGACTCTACTACTACTACTACTACTACTACTACTGCTGCTACTACTACTACTACTACTACTACTGCTACAGTACTACTACTACCAGTACTACTACTACTACTACTACTACTACTACTACTACTACTACTGGTACTGCTACTCCTACTGCCACTGCCACTACCACTACCCCTACCACTACTACTACCACTACCACTACCACTACCGTTGCCACCACCACTACTACTACTACTACTACTACTACTGCCACTACCACTACCACTACCACTACCACTACCACTACTACTACTCCTCCTCCTGCTGCTGCTACTACCACTAGCACTACCTCTACTGTTCCTACTACTACTAATAATAGTAATTCTTGTTATTATCTAATACGAATACTGATACTAATACTAATACCAATACTAATACGAATACTAATACTACTAGTACTAGTACTGCTAATACTGGATAATACTGCAAGCAATATCTAATACGAATACTAGTACTAGTACGAGCATTAATGCTAGCACTGATACTGCATTCTTCTTCAGCAAGTCCCAGTTAGGACAGTACTGTGCTACTTAATCTCGCTCCTCCCCCCACCCCCCACCCCCCCTCTTTTGGGGTAGACGACTTGGGGCTCACATTAAGGAACCGCCCCCAACACCCCTGCCGCTAAAGCCACAGCACGGGCCCGTGAATCAAGATAGATCCTCGACGAAGCTTTGCAGGAGCTCTGCCGTCTTTGTGCTGCTGGCTCCTCCCCGAAGATGGACGAGTGCAACAGCTACTACACAGACCTTCAGGATGCTGCAATCGGTGACAACCTTTGCATTTTGCTTGGCAGCAAGGACAGCAGCGCTGACTTGCGCCCGAAGCGAAACTGGCAGTTTTGCCTGGAAAGGTGGCCCACGCATTCGCGTCTTACCTCCTCAACCCAGAATACTGGTTTCCCCAAGTGCTTTGGGGCAAAGCTGAAGCCCCAGAGCCTGACGTGGGCAGCAGCAGGCTGAACAGGGTGTCAACCACACCTTGGGCTCAGGCTTCCCTGGAGAAAGTGGATGCAGGAGGCCGGTCATCACAAAAGAATCGCAGACAGAAGCTGCTGGAGTTCAATGAGGCATGCCATGTCCCGGCTTCGGAAGCAGTTTCTGCCCGGTTCGAGCGGGTAACTTTTGGTCCGCAGCGAAACGATGCAGGTCGAGTGATGACGGGTCATGCTGACTGCATTAAAACCTTGTTCACTAGTCTGAACAAGGCTTTATGAAGAGGGCGGTCATGCCGTTTGGCATCGCCACAAAGGTCTCAATCCGCTCGTCCTCGCCGCACGACATGACTTCCTGGGCACAGACAGTGGAGGTTGCAAGGTGCTTCATGATCTTGAGATTTCTGGCATTTCCCACCTCTACGCTCGGCACGCATTCTGTACAAATCCCGAAGCCGCGCACACCGGAGGTGGGAGCCATGCGGCATTGTCTGCGCTGGACGTGCCAAAGATCTTGGAGATCCGGAGCTCCCTCTTGTCCTGCTTGGTTTCCGCTTCGGACTACATGGTTCCCCCTGCTCTAAGGCATTGCCCGAGCACATGTCAGCAAGGGAGGCAAACGGCGGGGGTCAACACATCCGAGGTGCGGGCCACCGATACTGAACTGCTATGACAAACCGCCTGCTGAACTTATCCCGGCAGCTTGTCCCCCATACCTTTCGGCCTCAATCCACGACCCAAAAATTGCGGTGTACGTGTGAACCCAGCCTCTCTCAGGTTCAGAACTGTTGGCTGGCGGAATTGTTCTCTCCACAGCAAAGTGGCTTTGCAGGAGGCATTGGCCGCTCGTGACTCCCCGATCACGGCGGGCAAGTTTTTTTCCCAAACAGCTTCTTTTTTGTTTTTTCTGGGGACATGAAGGGCCCAGGGGAAATCGCGCCGGGCCTTGGCTAAATAGGTGACGACGCCGTTCAAGCAGTGGAAGGCGCTCATTGCATAATCGACCTTGTCACCATCCTTGGAGCAGAAGCAGCAGCCAAAGGAGTAGGAGTCGGAGCAGGTTAAAGAGTAGCAGGAGGAGCAGGAGCAGGAGGAGGAGGAGCAGGAGGAGCAGGAGGAGGAAGCAGAAGAGGAGAAGGAGCAGCAGGAATGGGAGGAGAGGGTACCCCCAACAGCAACAACGATGACGACGACGTCTACCTTTACCACTACTATACTGACTGCTACATTGCATCCCTGAAGCAGAGGTGGCACGGCACCAATAATCTCTTCAAACTGTTGATTAGACATTAGCGCGTCGGAGCTGAGCTGTCAACTAATCATCCTAATGACGACACCTCATCTAAGTGAATTTTGAAGCTTAGTTCAGCCTCCTAGTACATCGTCTTCTTGATACATCTTTTGCCCAGGAGCTGGCGACGGGATTTTTACCTGAGGGCTGGTGTCGACTGAAGCAAACTGCTGGAAACATCACACCCGGGAGTCAGTACGCAAGTGCGATAAAAGACTTATTGCGCTACGTTGGTGGGTTTGCCGGATAACAGTATAGCTTGCTGCATCGTGATGACATGAGTTCGCTATTTCTTGTGAGAGGTGCCGCAAGCCACATCTCAAAATGAAACTACGGTCAAGCTAGCTGCCCTCCGACTCTGTATGCGTACTGCAAGATATAGGCCAAGCCCCGAACCGACTCCCACGGGTGCGTCCTGTCTCCTGGAGTGTGGTCCTTGGCACCCATAGAGGCTAGGAGTGTCGTGACCTACTACTACCACGACGACGACGACGACGACGACGACGACGACGACGACGACGTCGACTGGCTGCTGCTGCTGCTGCTACTCCTACTGCTACTTCAACTGCAACTGCAACTGCGACTCCGACGGCTACTACCAGTACCATTTCTAGCATTGCTACTCTCACGAATCCCACTACTTGATGTGGATGATGGGCAGCAGACAGTGGATGGCTGATGCGTTTGTTGTTCATGCCATGATGTAGTTTTGTAGCATAGTAGGAGTAGGAAGAGTGGGAAGAGTGGAGGAGGAGGAGTAAGGCGGAGTGGGAGGAGGCGGAGGAGGAGTCACAAACGCAGTCGCAGTCTAGCAGCAGCCGGTGTTGTTGCTGCTGCTGCTGCTGCTGGCATCGTCGTCGTCCTAGTAATCTTCGTAGGCGTTGTCGAAGTCGTCGTCACAGAAATGGTCGTCGTAGATCGTCGTAGCAGTAGGAAAAGCAGCAGCGCCAGCCGTAGCAACACCAATGATCAATCGTCGTAGTCGTAGTCGTAGCGGCAGTGGTAGTGGCGGTAATCGTCGAGCTGACCGCTACGGCACGAGGGGTGAATGTAGTACAGGCTCGTCTGCCGGCGGCCGAATGCTTTCGACCACAGCCGCACCAGGGGCCGTCTTTGCAAGCTGCAGGCCTGTTGCGCGCAGAAAAACAGCATCCCTGCCGACTCCCTCCCATGTGAAAACTATGCCAGAGGTGCCAGGTGCATCGGCAGGACCGACGACAAAGAAGTGTGCATCCTGACTGCACATCCTATGCGTACATCTGCTTGGAGAGGTGAGGGTCGACCGTGCCGGCAGCACGATCTCGTCTGCCCTGCACCCTTTCCACACAGCTGTCCTGACCGCTGGCGACCAGAACCTCAAGTGCGATGGGGCAAACAAGGCTGATCAAGTCATCAAGGCACTTCATTGTTACAGGGGCTACAGTGCTGGCTGACGCTGGCATTTCCACCTGCACTGCACCACACGGCCCAGGTCCAGGTTAACAGGATGCGAAAGTCTTATCTCGGCTTGTTCAGGGCGAAGCCGCTGCTTATGTATGACCCTGAAGACTGCCTAAGACGGACAGTGGACAGTTTGGGATTGCAAGTCTGTCCAAGCTTGAAGTTCTGCCTCCGACTTTGCCACCTGTGCTCACCTGCTCTCTACACGCCTGTACAACACATTTCGACTCACATCGCCACATCCACCTCTCCTCGGGGCCCGCACCCCGAGCGCGCTGTCGTGGGTTACGCTGTACCCCAGCCCGACCTCGGGTTCCATCATGCAACCTTGAGGACTGATCGACTTCGTCGATGCAAACAGTGGCCGAAAATGGAGTCGAAGTTGGAACAACAGCTTCCCTGCACCCCGGCAAACTGAACTTATGCTCTCGGCACCTGGCTGTCTGTGACTTGATGCAAGCATTGGGCCGCATGGCCGCCTCCGCCTCGGAGAGGTGCAGGAACGAGGTGTGGAGAATAGGTGTGGTAGGCTCGGACCGGGTGCATGCGCTTGTGTTGGCTTTGACTTGTCATGTGTGCCTGTACGTATGCGCGTAACTACTTGTGTATGTATGCACGGAAGTCATGTATGCATGCATGCATCTACATATGTATGTACGTTTGTTTGTATGTAGTTGAGTGTGTGTACGTATAGTGTGCATATCTATGCATATGTATGTATAATATGTGTGTATATGTATATGGGTATGTGCATGTATATGTATGTGTGTATATGTATGCGTGCATACATACATGCCTTTGTACATGCATGCGCATGCATGTTTGTATATGTATATGCACATACTCAATGTATTCTGCACGTACATATGCATGCATGCCTGCAGGGTTTGCGCATGTATGTAAGAATGCATGCATGCACTCATGTGCGTGCACTCGTATGTATACATGCATGCATGCGTGCATGCATGCATGGATGAATGTAAGGACATAACTACGCATGCATGCACGCGTGCATGTATGTATGTAAGTATGTGTAGGTATGTATGCGCATGTCTGATTGTATGTCTACATGTATGTATCCACAAGCCTCGAAGACCCACAATAAAAGCTCCAATAACCACTGGTGGTACTACATAACATAGAAGCTCCTAAGGAGCGCCCGGGTATGTATGTATGTGCATATGTATGTCTATATGTATGTACGAGTGTATGCATGACTGCATGTGCGCATGTATATGCGCATCTGGATGTCGGGGGAATTGCAAACTGGCTGATGTATGACTGCTTTGCGAGGGAACGTACGCCACAGGCAGCCTCCCTCACCCTTACACAGCGATGAGATCAAGGTGATCATTGACAATTTCGTCCTCCTGCAATCTATGGGCCCCGAGATTGCAGGAGCGAGGACTAATTCAGTGACGAGACAATTCGAAAATGTACGGATTGGCAACCTTCGGCCCGACCTGGCCGGTGGGGCGGGTGGTGTGGGCGGACGGGGTGGGGAGGTATGCTGCAAATTTTGAGGCAGGCCTGTGGTGCGGCATTGGTCAAGTCGCACTCGTCTCCCAGCGCCACGAGGTCCTGGCTTTTTCGGGCAGGCACTTGGCTGCGAGTCTCGTTCAGACCAAGGCAGCTGGACTAGTCGCACTACAGTGATCTGCACAGGTTCCCGATGATCAACGTCAACCGGAATTGCACTGCAGGGCTCAGCACGGTGATTAACCGATCCCGGACAGCTTCCGGAAACCCAAGCTCTGCCCTCATCCAAGGATGGCGGAGTGACTACGCCATCGTAGCACGTTGACAAGATCAACTTTCCAGTCTTGGGCTCGGCCACGATGTCCCAAAGATCATAAAATTGTCCCCAGCGCAAGATCTGGTGGCGTTGGGCGTCGGTGCGGCTCGGAAGGGAATTGTTGGCTCTACGCGTTGGCGAGGATGGGATCTGTTTCACAAGCCTTTCAACCATCGTCAAACCGATGGAAGGCCTCAAGTCCTCACGGGTTCGGCTCCACATTCCGAAACTAGGCTCAGACAGGCCTGAGTCCAAGGTCCATCTATTCCATCTGTTCAGGCTGCTAGTCAGATTCTCTTGGCCTCAGCCCCTCAGCTAAACTTCCCACGCCTAGCATTGCATTCACCATTCACAGAAGGGGCTTAAGGAAGAGCAACGAGCAAGTATTGTGGCCGAAAAATGCACATTATACCGGAACAGAGAGGTGCAACCTGATGCTTCCTTGCTACTCGATTTGAAACGCCACCTTTGCTGGACCTTTGCGGAAGTTGGGGTTTGCAAAGCTGCAGAGCTTCATGGC